CATTAATCCAAAAGAAAAAAAAAAAAAAAAAAAAAAAGCGAGCATTTGGAAATAGCCTATGTGGAAGAAGTTTTGGAATCTATCACAAGTGTAACTCAAGTCAAAGGGCATATCAAATTAAGACTTCCTTATGCTTAAGAGAGTCCGTTCAAACATGAAATACCAATTATTCCAGAACATAATGTCAACATCTTAAGTAAAACCAACTTTCAAGTTGCCTTTACTTTTAGCACTATATTAGTCCATTTGCATTGCATGCAAATTTGAATAAAGTAATGTCTATTGCTAATTCTAACATGTATGTTTTGACTAAAATGTTAGATTGACCCTTACTTTTTTTGCTTCCTATATGGTGGACTACATTTGTCACCCCCATCAATAATTGATATTCCAAAGAAAAACAATAGCCTAAATTCAACAGACACGTTGACTACAATTAAGAGCACTCACCTTTCCATTCTGCCTTCCATCTGTGTAAGGAAGATTGTGCACAACAACAACTCTCCATATTCCAATCTTTTTACTATTTACCAGATTACCATTACGTTTCAGATCTGCTTCTGTTTCTTCATCAACAAACATGTAGAAATAGACAGTTTGCTTGGAGTATTCACTAAAGTTACTCAGGTGTTATGTGTTATCAAAAGCACTTGATATAAAATGGAATTTATTTAATTATTTAATAAGCATTTTCCCATCTTAAACATAGCAATTGAAGAAACAGTTTACAAATTTAGTACCAAAAATAGTTGATCCAACAACCACTCCATTGCACTGCTCCATCTCAAGAAGCTCATCATCTTCAATGTCAAATCTTGTCCCATGGCCAAGTTTTCTTCCTTTACAAATTTGGGCCCAAAAAAGAAAAAAGAGGAAAACACACATCAAGGAAAATATAAAATCTACATGCTAGCATGAACATCCCTAAAGGATAACCAAATGGTTTGGCCATGAAACTTCCAAGTTAGAGGTCTTAAATTCAAATACTTGGTATGGTGAGAAGAGGTTTTGAATTATTCACTTAGTTGTTCAAAAAGAGAAAAAAGGAAGAAAAAACCATACCCACAGCACATACTCACTGACTTTCTTATATCATACGAATCATCATGCTGCTTCAAGGTAGGGTATCCACCAAAATCTAAACCTTCTAATTCAGTCTCCTTATTTAATGATTCCTTATAAATATATCAGGAAAGCTCCTTGAACTCATTTTTTTTATGCTAATAGTATAAAAATATAGCTAATGGTGCAAATTAAGAAGAGTTTTCTATGCATTGAAGTATGAATCTATTTAGTGTGTTTCTCTAAAAGCATTAGAGAGAGAGCATTAGAGAGAGAAAGAAACCTCACAAACTACCGTGACAACAAAATCACCTTGGTCATCATCCAACATTCCAACAGGCAATTCTAGAACAACCTGCCTAGTTGGGACTCTAGCCTTAGACAAAAATGAAATCTAATCAGATATGGGTGAGTATCAGTAGAAAATAGGTCAACAATTCAACCCTTTGCTCATTTGTAACATGTTAGATCAAATGCCAAAGAATTCAAGCATGACTTAATAGATAAGAGCAATAAAAAGTAACTCTATCTGTTCAGTAAGAACAACATAAGTCTCATCCTTAGATTCCAGAAAAATTAGCACAGCTAAAACTGGTCCTTGAGAGAAAACAACACCTGGAACCTAAGCATGTGTTTCAATTGATTATAAGAGAGATAGTACGGGTTCATCAAATAAAAGAAACAAAATAAAGAGATAGTTAATAACAATAAAAATTATGCATTGGAAATAAAGTCTGCAAAATTAGAAATAGAAATTAAAATCAGCAGATGAATGTAAATTTTCAATGCATCGGAAATATAAAACAATAAATAGTAGAATGCATCAGATTAAAGACTGGAATGCAATAGACTATAAATAGGCTATATAGAAAAAATTCAATAATAAATATGAATATTTTGAATTTAATAAATAAGTAACAAAAAAACCCATCACTTGATGGTTAAAAATAATTTTTTCATGCACCACATATTTATCATTTTAATAAAATCAAACATCTTAACCATTAGAATTTGTATTATTTTTGCGATACCAAAAAAACAGAGACTGGTATAACATTATATGCATGCAAAATAGATCCTTCAAATGACCAATATTTATTGGATAAATTATGAAGAAGAATTGGAAAAATAAATCTGCAGAAGTAGAAATTAGCAGATACATGTAAATTTTCAACACATTGAAAATATAAGACAATAAATAGTAAAATATATTAGACTAAAGATTGGAATGCAACAGAATATAAATAGGTTATATAGAAAATATTTAATAATAAGTATAAATATTTTAAATTTAATGAAAAAATAACAAAAAAACCATCTCTAATGGTTAAAAGTCCTGACATCTGTGCTTCATTCATTTGCCTATATTGAAATTGTTGAAAAAACTTCACCCTTTTGTGAATAATTTCTTACCTTTCAAGAGAAAGCCCCCATGCAATAACGCTAACATCTTCTGGTAATCCCATAGGATGCAACATTTCAGATCTGAAAATGCTAGAATCCCCAATTTCAACCCATTTCCCAAGCCTTCATGATAACTGAAAGTAGAAGATTAACTGTCAAATTTCTGTCCACCTAACTGAAAGTAGAAGAGAAATTTGTTACTTTTTACTTGAATACCTCCATGCTAGGTTCCGTATATGGATTGTATGTAGGTTTGAAACGCAGATTAGACATGCCTGAAAATATATTAAACCCTCACACCAATTTATTCAAGAGCAGTTCCAAGCTCCAACCATATTCAGCATAATATTAAGCACTACCTAGTTGTGAGAAGGAGTCATGTAGAACACCAATCAAGTCACCAAGAGTGAGCCCTCGATCGCAGATCAGACCTAAATCAAAACATATGAATATTTAGCAAGCTAGTAAGTTAATACAAGCACTCAAAAGCAATGTCAATCAGATGGTACAAATCTAGTTAACATATGGTCAGATGCATCAGCAACACATATCTAGTTGATGTTTTCAGTTACCATGAAAGTTTATGCACTTGAATTGAACAGGTTTCGGCCACCTAGGCACTTAACTAATGGCACAACTCTAAGAATATTATTAGTGCTAAAATCTTTTACATATGTCAGTGTCAAACGTAGTAGGTCTTATTCAGTAAGTTTTCAATTTACCAAATCTGCAACTCAATTTAGTTTTTCCAAGACAGATCAATATTTACAACAAAAGTTAATACCTAATACAAACCCCAATCCAGTAACCAAGTTTATCAAGTACCTTCTATTTGATGGATTCTGCAGGATGATTTGAATCAACAACTTCATTTCTGAAAACATGGTCAATTGAGAAGTACTTTTTGGGAGCAAAAGGTTGCTGTAGATGAAATCAGAAAAAAGAAAAAAAGAATATTTAATATTTAATATTCCTAAAGTTGCTTATGCTGTAAACCACTTAGTATTTTTGAGGAAATAGAAGGGTGGGGAGGGGGGATGGTTTGTTGAATATGCATTCTGTAATCCAAAAAATATATTTATGCATTCAATAAATATAGTGCATGTAATAATAATGGCAACACACCAACAAAGTAACAATCAGGAAGCATGATAAAAATGTATAGTAAAAGAGCTAACAAATATTGAAGGGAGTTAAATGAATTAAAAGACAAAATTATGAGTCTCAAGACCCTCAAACCTTAGCCAGTGCATAAAGCATTCTGGTGGAAACAGCAGTTGTATGCGTCCGCAGCAAGTTCTTGTTTGCTTCCTCTCTTTTCCATTTGTACCCATATCTATATAGAATAAAAAACAAATAACAATAACTGAACTGCTTACTGGTAAAACATTGAAAAAGAGACGTAAAAAAAAAAAATTAGCATACCCCTAGAGCCATAACCACCATCCTCATGAACACATTTCACCAACTCCACATACTCCTTAGGCAACTTCCTCATAGTAGAAGGAGCTAAAAATGCATGCCCCAAATCATCAGAACAATACCAGAAAGACCCTTTTTCCTAATTAAGCATTCAAGCCAAAAATACCTTCCAAAAAGCATGTATCATACTAAAACGGGCTTCAAAAGCACAAGAGACAACCATAACCCAAGCAGGAGCCTAAACACAAACAACCCCAATCTCCTCCTTTTTGAAATCCACAAAAAACCCAAATCTTTCTTAGTTAACATACTAAAGACCCAAAATCCCATTTCATGAGGAAGAAAGGAAAAGAAACCCCACTCCAGTTCTACAACAGAGCAAGTATCTTTACAAGCCAAAATTGAAAATTGATGTGGGAAAATGACCAAAAAAAAAAAAAAACCCTTCATCCTCAACCCATCAAAAAGAGTCGCTTCAAGTGGAGTCAAACATGTGATGAATGATGAACTACCAAACAACCCAATATAGAGAAACCCAAATCATTCTTGGGTTCAGATTGGTCTTTTTGATCAATGCCTGCAACCAGAAATCACCATCAACACAAAGAAAGAACAGAAAAAAGGAAAAACAACAAAGCAATGATCAAGAAAAAAAAAAAAAGAAGAGGTCTACGATGGTTTGTTAAATCTGGCATGCAAGTGGTCCGATGGCCATGGGAGGGGTTTGACAACAATGAAGGAGAGAAGATGATGAAGATCGACACTTCATGATTTGTTAGATCCAGAATGCTCGATGGCCATGGCTGTGGTGAGGAAAGAGATTCGGCAACAATGAGAAAGAGAGGGTAATGGCTTTGGTGAGGAAGGGGTTCGGCAGTAATGAAGGAGAGAAGATGATGAAGATTGATGCTTCATGATTTGTTGGATCTGGAATGCCTGACGGCCATGGCTTTAGTGAGGAAGGAGATTCGGCAGCAATGACGAAGATAGGGTCATGGCTTTGGTAAGGAAGGGGTTTGGCAGCAATGAAGGAGAGAAGATGATGAAGATCGACAACGGCCATGGCTTTGGTGAGGGAGGAGATTCGACAGCAATGAGGAAGATAAGGTTTCAGTTTGTGGTGGAGAAGCAGAAAAGATGAGCTTTAGACTTTTTGGTAAAAAATGGTGCAGGATATTTTTACTTAATAAAAATAAAAAGGGAAATAAATAGGGATGGCAATTCTCTCCGTTCCCCACGGGGCCCCGCGGGGATCCCGCCACGGGGATGGGGCGGGGAGGAATATTCCTCCCTGCGGGACGGGGACGGGATCATTTTCTCCCTGTGAAATTTCGCGAGGAATTTTCCCTGCCCCGTGGGGCCCCGTGGGGATCCCCATCCCCGAAAAAATTTTTTTTTTTTATTTTAAAATTAATTTATTCTTTAAACTAAAACCTAAACTCAAACCTAAACCTAAACCTAAATTCAAACTCAAACCCAAACCCAAATTTAATCCAATTACAATTAAATTTAACCCAATACTATCCAACCCAACCCAACCCAACTCCCAACCCAATCCATTCTCCTACATTTAACCCTAACCCTAATTTATTTTAATTCCCATCACTCAATCTCTTTAGCTTCCCTGCTGTTGCTGCTGCTGCTGCCGAACCATATGCTGCTGTTGCTACCGAACCATCTGCTGCTGCCACCACCGGACCCATCTGCTGCTACTGCTGCTGTTCAACCAAAGCCATCTGCTCTACTGTTGCTGCTGCTGCTGCCGACTACCGGCTGCCACCACTGAACCCATCTAATGCTGTTGCCGCTGAACAGCCAAAGCCATCTGCTCTGGTGCTGCTGCAGGAGCCATTTGCTGTTGCTGCCGGACCCATCTGCTGCTGCCGGACCCATCCGCTGCTGCTGCTGCTGCTGTCGGACCCATCCGCTGCTGCTGCT